ACATAGCAAAGTCTATGGGATGCAGAAAATCAGTTCAAAGAGAGAATTTCATAGCAATACATTCCTACCTCATAACAATAATATCTCAAATAAACAATCTGACTTTACACCTAAAGGAACTATAAAAAGAACAAAGGTAAAATTAGTAGAATACATGAAATAATAAAGATCAGAGTGGAAATAAGTGAAGTAGAGATTAAAAAAAACCCATAGAAAACACCAATGAAACAAGGAGCTGGTTTTTGAAAAGATAAAATCAACAAAGCAGCTAGACTAACCATGAAAAAAAGAGAGAGGACTCAAACAAATAAAACCAGAGATTAAAAAGGAGAATTTAAAACTGATACCACAGAAAAATAAAGAATCATAAGGACTGCTACAAACAAGTATATGTAAACAAATTGGACAGTCTAGAAGAAATGGATAAATTTTTAGAAATATACAATCTTCTAAGACTGAATCATGAAGAAATAGAAAATCTTAATAGACTGATTACTAGTAGGGAAATTAAAACAGTAATTTAAAAATCTCCCAACAAACAAAAGCCCATGACCAGTAGATTTTACTGGTGAATTCTACAAAACATTCAAAAATTTAATATCGATCCTTCTTAAATTCTTCCAAAAAATTGAAGAGAAAGGAAACCTTCCAAACACATTTCATAAAGCTGGCATTACCCTGATACCAAAATCAGACAAGGTCATCACAAGAAAGAAAGTTACAATCCAAAATCCTTGGTGAACATAGAAAATCATATGATCATCCTGATAGTTGCAGAAAAACATTTGACAAAATTCAACATCAATTTATGCAAAAATGCTCAAGTAAGGGCATATTGAGGGAATGTACCTCAACATAATAAAGGTCATATATGACAAACCCACAATTAACATCATACTGAACAGAGAAAAGCTCAAAACTTTTCCTCTAAGATCAGGAACAAGACAAGGATGTCTACTCTTGCCACTTTTATTCAACATTGTATTGAAGTCCTAGCCACAGCAGTTAGGCAAGAAAAATAAATAAAAGGCATCCAAATTGGATAGGAAGAAGTAAAACTGTCACTGTTTTCAGTTTACATGATACTATACATAGAAAATCCTAAGACTACACCAAAAAACTATTAGAACTAATAAATGAATTCTGTAAAGTTTCAGGATAAAGAATTAATATACAGAAATCTGTTGTGTTTCTATACACTACTAACAAACTATCAGAAAGATAAATGAAGAAAACAATCCCATTTTCAATTGCATCAAAAAAATTAAAATACGTAGGAATAAATTTAACCAAGGAAATGAAATACCTGTACACTGAGAACTATAAGACACTGAGGAAAGAAACTGAAGACACAAATAAATGGAAAGATATTCCATGCTCATGAATTGGAAGAACTAATATTGTTAAAATGCCCCTAATAGCCAAAGCAATCTACAGATTCAATGAAATCCTTATAAAAATTCCAAAGACATATTTTGTAGAACTAGAACAAATACTTCTAAAATTTGTATGGAACCACAAAGGATCCCAAATAGCAAAAACAAGCTTGAGAACAATGAACAAAACCTAAGGTATCGAGCGTCCTAATTTCAAACTATACCACAAAGCCATATTAATCAAAACAGTATGGTATTGACACAAAAACAGACACACAGATCAATGGAACAGAATTGACAGTCCATAAATAAACCCACAAATATATGGTCAATTAATTTACTACCAAGGAGCCAAACACATAAAAGAAAGAAATGACATTATTTTGGTGTCATGAAATGTCATTAAATGGTGTTGGAGAAACTAGACAGCCACATGTGAAAGAGCAAAACTAGATTACTATCTTATATCATACATAAAAACTAATTCAAAATGGATTAAAGACTTGAGTGTAAGACCAGAAATCATAAAATTCCTAGAAGAAAACATAGGTGGTAAACTCACTGACATAGATCTCAGTGATGTTTTGGTGGACCTGACCCCAAAGGTAAGGGACACAAAAGCAAAAATAAACAAATGGGACTAGATTAAACTAAAAATCTTTTGCTCAGTGAAGGAAACCATCATCAAAATGAAAAGGCAACCTACTGAATGGGAGAAGATATTTGCAAATCATATATCTGGTAAGTGTTAATATTCAAAATATATAAAGGATTCAATAACAAAAAATCTGATTAAAAATGGGTAGATGATCTGAATAGTCATTTTTCCAAGAAGACATACAGATGTCCACAACAGGTACTTGAAAAAGATGCTCAACATCACCAATCATCAGGGAAATGTAAATCAAAAACACAATGAGATATCACCTCACACCTGTCAGAATGGCTATTAGCAAAAAGATAATAACTAACAAATGTTGGCAAGGTTGTGGAGAAAAGGAAACCATTGTGCACTGTTGGTGTTAACTGATGCAGACACTGAAAAAGATTATGGAAGTTCCTCAAAAAATTAAAAATAGGGCTTCCCTGGTGGCACAGTGGTTGAGAGTCCGCCTGCCGATGCAGGGGACACGGGTTCGTGCCCCGGTCCGGGAAGATCCCACATGCCGCGGAGCGGCTGGGCCCGTGAGCCATGGCTGCTGAGCCTGCGCGTCTGGAGCCTGTGCTCCGCAACGGGAGAGGCCACAACAGCGAGAGGCCCGTGTACCGCAAAAATAAATAAATAAATAAATAAAAATAAAAAATGGAACTACCATATGATTCGGCAATTCCCCTTGTGGGAATTTATCCAAAGGAAACAAAAACACTAACTCAAAAAGATATTTGCACCCCAATGTTCATTGCAGCATCATTTACAATAGCCAGGATATGGAAGCAACCTAACTGTCCATCGTTGAATGAATGTAAAAGGAAAATTTGGTATGTATATGTAAATATATACTGGTGTTGGATTATGCAACCCCTTTCCCTCAGAAGTCCCTGAAGATCATGCAATCCTCTCCCCGTCTCTAAATGGATCACCAGAACCCGCTCCCATACCAAAGCATTAGTCTTTTCTTCCAACTTGCCACAAAATTCTCTTTCAACAAATTATTGATCTAGAACTTCAAATGATCCCTAGAGTTCTTCAAACAACCACTTGACCACCAAATAAGCACAACATAGAAGCCTGGCATGGGTTTCTCTTTTATATTTAAATATCTTCAGATAATTTATGAAGTTAAAATTAGACCTAGCTTTATAATAACTACTTATCTCTTCATGAGCAGTTCTAAAATGGTATGATTAAATTAATCATGCAACCACCAAAGTAGATGTCAGCTACATTCTTGATCGTATTTAACTAGAATCATCTCCCAGATTGATTCATTTTCTGTGTGCAAAATCTGTTATATCTTCAGAACAATCATCAATGCTTCTTAAAATCCAGCACAGAATTTTTCACTCCATACCAACCAACCAAAAACTAATTTTTCAGCCTGTCATAAATATGACTGAAAATCATGAATGTTCTTTCCCAGATATAATTGATTTTATCTTTTTATATACCTTCTAATGAAGCTTTACAACTTCCTTAAACGGTTGAACAAGCAAATAAAATCAGTTTTTCATATACATTATAGCTAAAATGATATTTCTTATATAAATTATAAACAACGAGTGTTTCTTACTTGCATATTATACCTGTATATTTTCCCTGCTTCTCAGACTATTACTGAAGTACACTTTCAGTCTTAATTTGCAAAAGAACTACTCTTTTGTATCTACTTCACCTTTTGAGAAATGATATTCTTTGCAAATCAGTAGTTCCCTGGTTTTCTGTGACTGTACCAGTGTTTTCTTAGCACTGGAGTCTTTTGTCTGGTGCTACAGTTTGTAAAGTCAGGAATGGCACTGAGCTGAGGCTGAAAGGTAAAACTGTCAAGACCGTGGCTTCCTTTCTCAATAATTATCTCCTTTTTTCACCTAGTAATAATTTGATGCTGGCAGTAGCTGCTTCATCTTTACTTACTTGTTTTATTCCTGTTTAACTTGATAGAATAAGTATTTTAAAAGATCATATACCAAGTGATCAGGGGATGTACACAGACATTTTTTACAGAATTAGAAGTATATTTTCTGGTGGCACGGCCTTATAAAGTTAGCTCAAAATGAGTAAAAATAAAAACTTTGCATCTCCATGTACTATTATTTCTAAATCATTCTAAGGTGGTAATCACTAGAAGCAGGAGTAAAAGCCGTAACAATTTTTTTTTTTAATTGAAGGAATAGTGTCTGTGTAGTTAGTGTATTGCCATCTTTCTCTATTATGTCATTCTGTCACTGTAATCCCAATTTTTATGTTATTTTCTTTTGTTTTTTTCAGCATATTCTCTAAACAAAATAATCTCACTTTTATTTCAGTGATGTGAAATATTTGCCACACATGAAGGCTTTTACATGATATTTCTTTAAAGTCATTAAATTCCTCACAATTCAGAATATGTTCTAGGCAATGAAGAAGTGTGCTGGTAGAAACTGTTCTCAAATTGTGGACATTGGTTTTGCATTGCAGAATACAGAAAATGTCCACCACAATAAATGAGTCCATGGCTGCAATAAGGGTATTAAAAACATAATGTAGGCATGATAAAAAATTGGAATTACAAATAACATTGTTTTCAAACCTCATGCAAAAATGGAGTTAAGGCAAAATTATAAGTTAATGAGATCTAGTTCTATGTGTTTTCAGAAGAGAAATTTCATTATTTCATAATCACTTGCTATAAATTATATGTATAATTATTTATGGACATGTATACTGCTCATCCATTCTAACAGTCGCTAATCACCTGAATCAAATGTTATAAAATAGGACATTATATATTGAAAAAATTTTAAAGTAAACTAAATAAAATTTAGTTAAATATACATTGACTACCATAAAATCTGTATAAATGGGAAAAACATAGTTAAAATGTAATTATAACTTTTCAGGTTTGCTTGCTTGTCATGTTAGCCCTGAAAAAACATATTTCTTAAAACTACAAAGAAAATACTTTTATCGATGGGAAAATTATTTACCTGGATCTTCTATGGTTAAGTTCTTTATTAACCATTGAACAATGTCTGACCCTGAAAAAAGAGAAAAAGAAACACACATATATATACATATATATGAACATCTATTTATATATGTTAACCTTAAGAACTCAACATTTAGCACTCATAAGAGTAGGAATGTTTCTAGTTGTTACAATAACAGATTAAAGATCAGCCACATATGAAGTATTGAAAACAGAGCGTGAATACATTGTTTTTCTTCAGTGAGCCAAGGTGCAAACTAGTCAATTATTAAATATGAAATGTTTAAACATAAAGATTTAATATACTAGTAGTGGATAAAGTGATTCATTGATTTATTCATTTAATGAATGTTTATTGAGTGCCCACTATGTTTCAAGCACAATTCTTAGCATGGCATAACCAATACTTTATAAGATGATACCTGTCTCATTTCTGGTTTTCCCCATCCAGTCCCTGTATCTACTCTCAAGCCAACCCAAATTGGTTGTCATTTTTGGCAACAAATTTGTGTTGTTATAGTATTGTGTCTTTATAATACTATTTTCTTTGACTGAAAGGTCTTTCCACTATTTTCAAGACACTCAAGATTCATTTATACAAGAGAACTTCCCTTGACCCTCACCTTTGGCAATGGGTGTGGAGAGCCGTAGGCTGGTCAAAAGGAAAGCAGGGCAGCCAACATTTCTAGTGGGTTGTGATCCAAGATTGAAAGGATAAGGCCCTGAGCTAGTTCAGTGTACATGTGAATTAGAACAAAATTAGACTTGTTCTAGGACCTTGTGACTAGGTCTGGGGTTGGCAAGTGGGAAAATTAAGAGGACTCAAAGTTTACAGTCCAGGAGCATTAGGAATGAATGGAATGGTGAAAATATGAGCAGAAATGGGAGATTCAGGAAGAGGCGCTGATTTACCTGAGATGTTCATTTCTGTTTAATTTGGCTCTCAGCATAATTCATTTCTACATAAAACTGCAAAAAATATGTAATGTAAATAGTTACATATACTTAGTAAGCTGTATCAGGGCTGCATGAATGAAATTTTGTGTGAACTGAAATTCCATTTCTACCTCTCTTGGAGACTGGGTACAGTTGTAGCCTACCCACCTGAGACCTGGCAAATGAGTGATATTAACAATGGCCAAATAATTCTAGTTGCTTAAAGCAGAATAGTTCAAAATTAATTTCAAAATAAACTTGATCATCAAGCTTGACAATAATGTCCTAAAACTTATGAAAACAGTTACACCCAACATCAATTTCAATATGCATGCATTTAAAAAATATTAACTTCAAGTATTAACTGTTCCTTGACAACTGCCGTTGATTTAACTGCATTTGAGAGGATGACTTCAACTAGATCCTAAGGAAGCTCTGAGGGAAGGAAGAGGGGAAACCATTCATAAGAACACAGATGTTGCAGAATGTTGTGCTTAACTTATTACTTACAGCCTAAGTTATCTTGAGGCATGGTCTTCCCTTTTATAAAAGGGGAAACTCAGTTTTTCAAATGTGTATGTTGACCAATGTAGAATTCCAGGTACCTAAATATTATTAGCTATCTCCAGGTGCCCTGCTCGTTTTTCACATTTGAGCATCTATTTGGGGAAAATATATGAGCAGCCACTGGAAAATTTCTACTCTTGAAGAGAGCCAAATATTGGTTCCAGGACTATAATTTTTTCTTAATGTGAAAAGTGATTTTAGAATACCTTCAGAAAAGTGTTATTAAAAAAAAATTTTCTTCTGTCTCCCTCTCTCTTTCTCCCTCTCCCCCCACCCTTTCCCGAACAGAAAGAAATACAAAGCAGTCTAATTTGAAATTACATTTAATTCAGGAAACAAGAAACTTATTTTCCTGGCCTAGTTTTGGGTATTTCTGTCACAGTGGTGGTCTCAGTTCACTGTAAAAGAGCCAATGTGATTACCTGTCAGTATCATTATAGTGGTTTTATTGTTGTGTGATCACCCAATATATGTATGGTTTTAACACATTATGAATTATTTTATTGTCAAATGTACATCCAGTTCACCATATTCATCTATTATGCATCTATGACAGCAAGACCTTAACTCCCAGTTGAGAGAGGCAGAGACAGAGAAAGGGAGAAAAAAAATTCCAGCATCTTATGGAACCAAAAGATTGAAAGAGAAATGCTATCATAGTAATGTTGAAAACTGATTCAAATGGCTTTATGGCCAGGAGGGGTGTGGAAAGGAATTGCCCCTTTCTCCCAATTTCTCAGCTTTATCTTTAATAAATAAGTGGCAGACCTGCTAAAATTTTCGTGTACAAATGTACATATCCAGGACACTTTAGAGTTCCATTTATCTTTTTTTTTAAACATCTTTATTGGGGTATAATTGCTTTACAATGGTGGTTAGTTTCTGCTTTATAACAAAGTGAATCAGTTATACATATACATATGTCCCCATATCTCTTCTCTCTTGCATCTCCTTCCCTCCCACCCTCCCTATCCCAGCACTCTAGGTGGTCACAAAGCACTGAGCTGATCTCCCTGCGCTATGCGGCTGCTTCCCACTAGCTATCTATTTTACATTTGGTAGTGTATATATATGTTCATGCCACTCTCTCACTTTGCCCCAGCTTACCCTTCCCCCTCCCCATATCCTCAACTCCATTCTCTAGTACGTCTGCGTCTTTATTCCCGTCTTGCCCCTAGGTTCTTCGTGACCATTTTTTTTTCTTAGATTCCATATATATGTGTTAGCATACGGTATTTGTTTTTCTCTTTCTGACTTACTTCACTCTGTATGACAGACTCTAGGTTCATCCACCTCATTACAAAAAACTCAATTTCATTTCTTTTTATGGCTGAGTAATATTCCATTGTATATATGCGCCACATCTTCTTTATCCATTCATCTGTTGATGGTCACTTAGGTTGCTTCCATGTCCTGGCTATTGTAAATAGAGCTGCAATGAACATTGTGGTACATGACTGGTTTTGAATTACGGTGTTCTCAGGGTATATGCCCAGTAGTGGGATTGCTGGGTCGTATGGTAGTTCTATTTTTAGTATTTTAAGGAACCTCCATACTGTTCTCCATAGTGGCTGTATCAATTTACATTCCCACCAATACTGTAAGAGAGCTCCCTTTTCTCCATACCCTCTCCAGCGTTTATTGTTTGTAGATTTTTTGATGATGGCCATTCTGACTGGTGTGAGATGATATCTCATTGTAGTTTTGATTTGCATTTCTCCAATGATTATGATGTTGAGCATTCTTTCATGTGTTTGTTGGCAATCTGTATATCTTCTTTGGAGAAATGTCTATTTAGGTCTTCTGCCCATTTTTGGATTGGGTTGTTTGTTTTTCTGATATCGAGCTGCATGTGCTCCTTGTAAATTTTGGAGATTAATCCTTTGTCAGTTGCTTCATTTGAAAATATTTTCTCCCATTCTGAGGGTTGTCTTTTCATCTTATTTATGGTCCCCTTTGCTGTGCAAAAGCTTTTAAGTTTCATTAGGTCCCATTTGTTTATTTTTGTTTTTATTTCCATTTCTCTAGGAGGTGAGTCAAAAAGGATCTTGCTGTGATTTATATCATGGAGTTTTCTGCCTGTGTTTTCCTCTAAGAGTTTAATAGTGTCTGGCTTTACATTTAGGTCTTTAATTCATTTTGCGTTTATTTTTGTGTATGGTGTTATGGTGTGTTCTAATTTCATTTATCTTTATACTGAGGACATCAGAGTAACAAGCAGGATGTTTTGTTTGGCTTTGTTTATTTCTTTAAAAAAAATGTGAAACTAGTTAAGAGATGCAACAGTATCTTATACCCTAAGACAGGGATCCCCAAACCCTGGGCCACAGACCAATACCGGTCCATGGCCTGTTAGGAACTGCGCCACACAGCAGGAGGTGAGCAGCGGGAGAGCAAAGCTTCATCGTTATTTACAGCCGCTTCCCATCGCTCGCATTACTGCCTGAGCTCCGCCTCCTGTCAGATCAGCGGTGGCATTAGATTCTCATAGGAGCGCGAACCCTACTGTGAACTGTGCATGCCAGGGATCTAGGTTGTGCACTCATTATGAGAATCTAATGCCTGATGATCTGAGGTAGAGCTGAAGTGGTGGTGCTAGCGCTGGGGAGCGGCTGCAAATACAGATTATCATTAGCAGAGAGGTTTGACTGTACAGAGACCATAATAAATCAGTTGCTTGCAGACTCATGTCAAAACCCTATCTGTGGGACTTCCCTGGTGGTGCAGTGGTTAAGAATCTGCCTGCCAATGCAGGGGACACGTGTTTGAACCCTGGTGTGGGAAGATCTCACGTGCCACGGAGCAACTAAGCCCATGCACCACAACTACTGAGCCTGCGCTCTAGAGAGTCCATGAGCCACAACTACTGAAGCCTGCACGCCTAGAGCCCATGCTCCAGAACAAGAGAAGCCTCCACAATGAGAAGCCCGTGCACCACAATGAAGAGTAGCCCCTGCTCACCGCAACTAGAGAAAGCCTGCACACAGCAACGAAGACCCAACATAGCCAAAAAAAAAAAAAAAAAAAACCCTATCAGTGAGTGACAAGTGACAATTAAGCTGCATCTGATGGCAGGCTTTATAGTGGCAAGTGACTTGATGTACTTCAATTGTACAGCTGCATCTGGTGGCAGGGTATAAGTCAGAATCCGACACTTACTTTAGTCTGCGTGTGGCCCTCCCATTATTTTATTTACCACTTCTCTCTGCCTCTCTTTCCCTCACTGCACACCTGTCTCAGTCACAGTTTTGGTAAGCCCACAAGCTAACCCTAGCCAAAAAGAGGAAAAAACAAACGTCGTTAGAGAGCTTCTTTGGAAAGGGGAAAGACCCAATGGTGAAAGAGTAGAAGACTCTAAGACTGCCAACAAAAAGAAAGCTGCATTTAAAAGAAAATATCAAGAGTTCTACTTAAATTACAGGTTCATTGCAACAGGTGATTCACATTCTCCAAGCCCACTTTGTATAATATGCAGCAACCGGCTATCCAACAAAGCCATGAAACCTTGAAAACTGCTTCACCACATGGAGACCAAGCACTCTGCAT